TTGGTGTTTCACACATACATTTCTCAACAATTCTTTCTCACACGCTGGGTACTCGAATCTATATGAGTGACTTTGTATAGAATTGTGAACACACGCGAGAACTTACATGACTACTAATATTTATACTAAAACATTCCAAGTAACCGTCGGGCAGTTACACTGCTTCGAGATCAATCCACTTGGCACGTTCTCCACGTTCGACGCTCCAGATCCTTGCACGTTTGCACGTGGTAACTGCTGGAAACCGTTTTCCCTCCAAACACTTGAATTTCAAACTGCTCCACTCTGAACCATCGAACACTTTCGTCGAGAGACATCTTCGACGAGAAACTCCTTCGACGTCGAAGGCAACCAACTTCTCCCTTGGAAGAAATCTTCTAAGTACTTTGCCGTCTTTCGACGGGCATTTCGACAAACTTAGCCAGTCGAAAACATCCTCCAGCTTTTAATGGCTGACATTAATAAAACAAGAGTGTCGAATTTAGGAGCCAACAGCAGCATGGTCGGTGTCTGCTCGAGATTTAACGATCATGTCGTCCATGTATACCTCGAGCATGTCTCTGATCTCGTTGCGGAAGACTTTATTCATCATCCGCTGGTATGTTGTCCCTGCGTTTTTCAGACCGAAGGGCATTACATTGTAGTAGTAATTGCCCGAGCTGGTCATGAAAGTGGTGCAGTGTTTGTCGCTCATTGCCATTGGGATTTGGTTGTAGCCCAAATACGCATCCATGAAAGATAGAATTTTATAGCCGACCAAATTGTCGACCATCATGTCAATATTAGGCAAAAGAAATTCATCTTTAGGGAATGCCCCATTAAGATCGGTATAGTCAACACATTTACGCCATTTTCCATTATTCTTTTTGACAAGTACAACATTTGACAGCCAGGTTGAATACCGGACTTCAAAAATAAAATTTGCCTCTAAGAGGTCTTTTATAACTTTTTCAGCAGCCTCTGTTTTCTCGAGGGACTGCCTACGCCTATGTTGTACTATTTCCCTAGCGGCTAGATCAATGGCCAGGTGGTGACAGGCAACCTCAGGTTGAGTCTGGGCATCTCTGTAGCGCTCCACGCGAATAGATATGCGTTTTCCCTTAAACAAGCCTTGATCTCTCTCCTCTCCAGGTCGGGGAGTCCGATGCCGATCTTCACCCCTTTGTTCGGGTCTTCTCCGAGAGGGACGAGCTCAAAGTCTCCATCCAGAATTGGTCGGAGGAGTCCCTGCTCGTTGTTGGGTGCTTCATCTTGGTCGAAGAGGTTGTTCAGCGAGATTGAGTTGACCTTTGGAGGGGCCCTCTGTTCTTCTGTCTTGTTGGGAAGTTGCTCTGGTTGCTGTGGCTCTGGTCGTGCCGTAGCGGCTCTCTTGGCGGGCCGTGTTATAGTGACGACCATACTTTTTCCCCTGGCCTCTGTGTTGAAGCATCTCCGAGCAGCTTCTAGGTCGCCTTGGATGGTGGCGACGCATCCCCTCCTCGTGTATAACTTCATCTTCAGATGGACGATGGAGGGAACATTGGTCAACTTTGCCAATGTCGGTCTCCCAAGGATACAGTTGTAGAGAGACGGGCAGTCGATGACCAGGAAGCGCACTTTGACTTGCCTGGTGGAGGTATCCTCGTCGAAGGTGGCCATGAGCTCCACGTATCCCCAAGGGTTGGAGTTCAAGCCATTGAAGCCTTACAGGTCGGACCCCATGTAAGGTGATAGGTAGGTGTCGTCGAGTTGCAGGGTTCAGAAGAGTTGGATGTACATTACGTCGACGAAACTTCCTTCGTCGACCAAAACGTGATGAACGTCAAAGTTATCCATTCTCGCCCTAACCAGAAGAGGGATGGCTAAGTTTGGGGCCCCTCTGGGCAATTCTTTGAGGTAGAAGATAATCGGCTCTGATCTGCCCTTAACCCTCTCGAAAGTCACTGTTTGCATAGGGTTGCATCGACCAGCTCGTCCAACTTCCTCTTCGTGGAGTTTATGGTTATATCATTGAATCCCCCACCATTTATGACCATGGAGGATGGGAAACTTTCCCACCTAATGTGCGTGGTCAGGGGCTCTTCAATATCTTCGGGGACATAGAAGTCCTCCGGTCTCGTAACGAAGAATGTTGTCTGGATGGGGACCGTCTCGTCTGATGGTCGGGCATCCTCTTCAATCTCCCTCGTGTCGCAGGCATCTCGACGAGGGGTGTCGCCGTGCCTATATTGCCTGAGTCTACCCCTTTGACGAGGGTCTCAATAGCATCCTTGAGATGGACACAGTCCTCGGTCAGATGTCCATGAATTTGATGATATTGGCAGTATTTGCTCCGATCAACCCTGGACTTGGCTAGAGCGGGGCGAGGACGCTTGACACCCCCGTCCTTGAAGTCAGTGTTAGCGCACTCCGCCAAGATGCGCTCGTGGGAAGCCGTCAGCGAAGTGTACACGGTGAACCACCCCAAGGGTCCTCTTTGCTTGCGAGGATCTCGGGGTTTGTCATCCCTCCTCTTCTCGCTAGTTTGTCGAGAGGGGCCGGAGTCTTGTTGTCGCAGATTGTTGGTTGATCCATAATTCTCGGGGTCCCGGGCTCTGTTGGCCACTTCCCTCTCCTTGTAGTCCATGTAGGCTTTGGCTTTCTCGAGAAGGGCATCAAATATCCGCGGTGGTTCGATTGCAACGACTTTTCTGAATTCCGTGTCTGGGAGGAGTCCCCTCTCGAGCAAGTATCTCTTCATATGGTCAGTGCAGGGGACCTGGATGGACTCCCGGTTGAACCGATCAATGAATTCCCTAAGGGTCTCGTCGTGTCTCTGGATGATAGCCTCGAAGGCTGCTTCAGTCTTCGGATGTCGATGCGAAGCAGTAAACGAACTGATGAACTGGTTCTTCAAATTTCTCCAGGAGGTGATTGACCCCGGGGCGAGAATCTTATACCAATCCATCGCAGCTTTCCTCAAAGTCTTGGGGAACAACCGATATTTGATTGGTCCCCCGACATTATGATAATAGAGCATTGCCTCGAGTATATGGTCGACTGGGTTGGCAATGCCGTCGTACTCCTTCAGATGGGGAGGCTTCTCCATGCCCGGGGGGATGGGCGCCTCCATAATAGCTTGTGACAAGGGACTGTGGGGGTCATCTTCGTCACTCCTGTCTGGCGAGCGAGAAGGAGATCTGTTATAATGGTGGTTATGATGTTGGCCCTGGTCGCGCGAAGCGTTCCTTGGGCGGTGTGGTCATTCATTATTTCCCCTGTTCCTGTTTTCAGGGGGTCTTTGCTCTTGACGCGAGGGGATGTGATCGCGTCTCCCTGTATCTACGGGCTGGTCCCTCTCTAACACGGGGCGTCGCCCGATTGGTCAGAGAGAGGGGCTTCGAGAGGAGATTAGGGATGTTCCTCTATCTGGAAAGGAGGAGGGGACTGAGGCCTCCTATGTCTTCTGGGGGCCCTTCAAGCATCTTCGAGCGCCCTTAATCTTTCTCCTTGAGAGAAGATCAGATAGTTCATTTGGTTTATCGCCGCGAACAGGGCCCTGGTCGTGGCATCTGCTCTGGCGAGAACAAACACTTCCTGGAACTGGTTGGGTTGGTAGTTTTGAGGAGGTGGTCATTCGTCTTCGAGTTGTCGTGACAGTGACAATGATGAGGCAATCAACCCGTCTCTGTACTCTGATAGATTGGGTATACCGACGTGGCCGACGTTGATGTCGTTACCGGCGTTGAGACCAGTGGGAGCAGCGTTATGGCCAACAGGACCAATGTTGTTGAGGCCGGTGTTATTGTCGACGACGTTATTACTGGCGTTGGCGAGGCAGACATTCATGTTATTTTCTGCTGTTTGATTAGCCATGATAGTCAGATGAGTGCAATTAGCTTTAGACTTGTTTGAATGGAAGACGGGGAAGCAAGTTTCCCACAGACGGCGTCACTGATCGTACCTGACCAGAATGGACCGTCACAGCTAGCTCGAGCAGAAGTTAAGAGTGAGGTGGGGGGAACCTGCAAGACACTCCAGAATGAGCAAGCAAGTGAGTCAGAAGTGTTCAATACCTGACCCTCTCGTAAGAAAGAGTATTTATAGCCCCCAACGCTGGATCAATGTCTCCTCATTGGACTGGTCAAGCAGGCCCAACATGGAGATTTCCAGGTCCTACGTGAGTAGTGGGGACCCGCATGTGATCCCCTACCTGGATGACTTCCTCCGCAAGATCAGCACGATATGTAAGCGATCTTTCTGGGGCCGCGAAGACTCCGTAATATTCGGAGGCGTTGATAGCCAACCCTACGAGGAGTATGCTCGTGAGGTGCTTCCGCTCGTCGTGGATACTCCCATTGACCGTGAGGTCGTGTGATAGGACCATTAGTGGTCGAGGAGAGGATTTGGAGTGTGACCTCGAGGTCCTCCTGACCGGTAGTGATCTTCCTAAAGGTAACAGGATTCATCCCGTGCAGTCGAGGGTGAAATTGATCTAACATACTTTAGACGATATAATTAGATTAGATCTCACATGGAGTTGGGCCAAGAACAGACCCGATTCAAAACAGATTTCAAGTCTCCTTCCATTGTTCTATGACAGATAGAAAGTAAATATATCTTTTTATGATGTCTCAAATTTATAAAGAAAGAAACCAATGTGTTAACAAAATTGCCTTAATAATATTTGTTACCTTTTCTTGGTTTGTGCACAATTCATTTTCTTTGTAATTTATATTATTTTGACGTTGGTGTTAAAAACAGTGTTTGAATAGCACACCTTTTTTATAATAATTACACAAACTTCTATTTTAGTTATAAGAGAATAAAAAGTTGATTGTATGAGAGATAAACCACTGTCTTATTGTACAATTAAAAAACATGCAGTATTTTTAAAATATGGAAACATGTATTAAAACATTTATAATTTATATAGAAGTTTAGGTATTAAGTAATACTAATATTTTTCACAGTGAAAACACAATGACTATTTACTGCCTCCCACCAAATAAACTTTCTTGACCCATCAGTGCCTTTCTTTTTTAATGAAACAACACAAATGCCCAAATAAACAATATATAGCCAGCTCTAGTTAAAGCAATGTTGTTTGCTCCTCCTTCATCGCCTCGAGTTGCTGTTTCATATTGGTAAAAAAAGTCAATATTATCAGTGATTTTATCACATGAATATTACTCTTATCATTTTGAAATACAATAAATATTGAGAAGTTTTTACCTGGGGGTTGCGCCGACAACAGAGGAAGAGTTGGAGATGATGCTGAAATTTTTTCGATAAAGTAAAACAAAATTAATCCAATAAAGTAAAAGTGTATTTTCATCTTATATGCAGTGTGTTTTGATTTGACATACCTTTGCATGTGGTATCGAATTTGACACCACACAAGTGTATAACTCGAAAAACCTGAGAAATTTTAAACCCAAAAGTTTCAAACAAGCCAGGAGTTAAAACAATTTGACAGAAACATGTTTTTTGTGTTTCGTATAGATCCTTAATCGGATCGCAGCATATGTCTGGTGGGTTACTTGAGTTAACGTACGCAATGCACGGTAATACTTGATTACCACAACTTGGAAGCACTTGTGCATCTACCAAACTAATCACTACACTCATGCTAATTACTCCTATTAACACCATGGTACACATTCTCCTATTATTCATTTTGTTATAATTCATCATTTAACATCAATATATATATAGTTGTCATTGCATCAATCGAAAAGTTTATTTGATGGAGTTGAGATTCTTTGATTTTGTTTGGTCTACTAAATATTCTTGTTTTGTCTTTATCTATCTAGTCAAATCTTTTCTCTTTATAATGCTTATCTATTTTGAAATCTCAACTACTCTTCAATTAATCTCCATTTTCTTTTGAGAGAGAAAAAGGAAGAGTCTTTTCGAGTTGCTTTAAGATTATAGTGTAGTTGTATAATTATATTTGTTTATTTCAAATTTAAATACTTTTTTATTATAAAAGTAAAATTAAATCATTACATAAATAGAAAAATAGAAGACAAGCGAACAATAAATTATACCGTTATTTTTTTTTAAATTGTAAAATCAATCTTTTTAAAAGTTATATTTATAGATCTAAGAGATATAATATTATTATTCATAAATTTTTGACCTCTCTATAAAAGATCAATATCGATCCTTCTTCATTTACAGGGGTTCCATCCTCTTACCCTCTAAAATTTTATTTTTATAAATTTTAATTAATTAGATTTTTTTTTAAATATATATTTTTAACAAAATATTTTGAAATAAATCAAATTATTAAAAATTCATAGAAATTTAATTTAATTTTTTTAATTAATTTAATTTTTAAATATCATAATTTATTTTATTAAAATAAAAAATTAATTATAGGTGGCGTATAAGGTGAGGGAGCAATCAAATCTCTCGTCAGTGCGCCATAAAATATACCGTCCTAAAATAATTTAATGGGTCAGATCTATTGAAGAAAAAAGAGTAACACTTATGTCTTGTCTCACTCAATTTCTGTTGAAGAGTCCGAGGAGCGTCAGAAGTGACAATGGACCAAAAGTTTATGGTTTCAAGAGACCTTGATGTCACATATTCACCTAAAACCTTAAGATAATGGAGGTATGAGTCATCTCTCTTATAAATACAATATTTCCTTGATGCCATATATGCACCTAAAACTCTAAGAGAATGGAGGTATGTGTCATCTCTCTTATAAGCTCATTTCCTCCATTCTTAGTCGATGTGAGACTTTAACACTTTCACACTTGAAACTCAACAATCACTACTATAGAAAAGACCTTTAACAACTGTTAGAAATGATATATAATCACGCAGGATCAGACGTTGTTATGTAGTGTGTGGTTGTATATGTGTTACTTTCAATCACGGTCTAGTAACCGTAGTAGTAAATTGGAAAGTGTGCGCCCTATAACAACGATTGTAAAAAATAACCGTTGTGATATTGTTTATGAATAAATTGCATTCGTATCATACCAGAATCAACAATATACCATTTATGAATTGATATCAAAACTTGTATTACATCAAAGTACACGTAAGTAGGAATATCAAAGAAGAGAAAAAGATATATGAAAAGACAAGTAGATATAATCATTCATTCAACAGCTCGAGGAATTAAAGAATCAATAAATGAGAAAACTTGACTTGCGTGAAATCTTTTGGCTTTTAAACTTTCAAGGATCAGAGAAGAGGAAGAATCAGAAGAAACAATATAAAATCAGAATTACTATTTTAAACAAAACACAAAAAGAACTTCATCCAAAGAAATTAGAGAAGAAGAAAAATAAAAATGAATACTTCTGGTGAAGCTTCCAACAATGTTGAGAGAGCTTCCAACAATGCTGAAGATATTCTGCCTCCTCAGAATCAAGAACTGTTGAGACATAGAAGAGCTCTCAAGCAGAGGATAGCAAAAAGAAGAAAAAGAAGAAGAAGGGCGAGAAGGCAGATGATTTTTTTTCGATTCTGATGATGATGATGAATCAGATTATACTTGGTCAAACTTTCTCTGGGTCATAGGTTTTAGATAAATTATTAAGGCCTTCTGTAATGAAAGTTTATGTAATGAAATTTTAATCTAGGGCTTTCTCACTTTCTTAAGGTTATCAACTTGAACTATCAACTTAAACTATCAGCTTAAACTACCAGGTATACAATCTATCAACTAATATACACACATCTTTGAAAAGCTGAAATGACAAATAGATTGCGATTGAACTTACTCGTAAGAAATCGTTTGATAATTGCATTCTTGTAAAGTTCACTGCATATGCAGTTTCAACACAAACTATTATATTTCATAACAAAGTAAACATTAAACATAAAGGAGATAACAAAACATAACATCTTCAAATTTTCATAAAATCTTTCTGATTTCAGTTTGTTCTTCAAATTCTTGTTCTTCTTCTTTGAATCTTCATATATAACCTTCGAATAACCCTTAACTTCCACAACTTCATACTCTGACTTTATTTCCATCTTTTTCTCTCATGTCTTCATCCCATATGAATAAACTACATGTCTCATCACTCCTCTAAAATATACATCTCCAAAAAAGTCTTCCTTTATTTTATCCCTTCTTTCATTAGTATGAAACCATACAACCATCACAACCACATAAACATGCAGATCGAGATTTTACAGAAGAAAAAGACATAACACCTTTGGATGAGTTTGTCTTGAAATGTGGCGTTGGTGTTAGGGTTGTTTCGTCTTGTTTCTTTATCAGTGAAAAAATGGATTGTGAGGGTTATATATATATATATATATATATATATATATATATATATATATATATATATATATATATATATATATATATATATATATATATATATATATATATATATATATATATATATATATATATATATATATATATATATATATATATATATCATGAAGGTCATTAATGGTGAACAGTAATGATAATTTTTTTGAATAATTGTAATTTCATTAAAAAAGCGATAGTATGTAACAACGGTTTTACAAAACAACCATAGTGGTATCCATATTATTTTTAATTTAACTATAAATAAAAATGAAAATGCACGCATTAATGTTAAACGAATAAACTATTTGAGGGTAATGAGGCTCTAACCCATGAAACCTTGATGGTATCACCACGGTGTTCTCGTCAACCATTATTATACCCTTAAAATTTTTACTTTAAAAAAAATGTTAGCGCATGAGTTTAGAAGTGTCACCAGGTGTTTGGAAGAATCGTGATGACTTTAACATTGTTATATGTGTGTTTATAGTAGTGAATCTTCCCTACAAGTATAAGTCACACGTATCACTAGATTTGATCCGTACTAGGATCCACTTCCGCTCTCCCACCGAGCCAACTAGGGCTCTGACACCACTGTTGGAACTTCAATTTGGGGGGTCAACATGAGGGAGCATTTTTACATTAGAGATTTCTCTTTTATGGGCAACACAACTTTGTGAGAGATACACCACATACTCGCCTAAAACCTTAAGGTGATAGGTGTGTGAGTTATCTCACTTATAAATGATTAAGTCTCCATTTTTCTAATCAATGGGATTTCCCCGCACTTTGTTTATCAAAGTTTCCAATTAACACTTGTTATTCTCCACACTCCTCCTCGAGTGTAAGTCTATCCACAATTCTTCCCCTCAAGCGGAACCTCTTTCATCCACATACATTTGTACCGCCGTTACCACTCTTCAACGAGACACCTCATATCCACCACCTATGGGGAGTACTTTCGATACAAGGAAGCCAATACCTTACTCGAACCATCGACTTCTGATACAACTGTTAGGGTAATCAATTAGGGGATCAACATGAGAGAGAACTTACGTTGAAGCTTTTTCTTTTATGAGCAACACACCTTTGTGAGAGACACACCACATACTCACTCAAAATCTTAAGGTAATGGGGATATGAGTCACCTCTCTTATAACCTAACATTTCATCCATTCCTAGTCGATGTGCGACTTTAACACTTTACAGTTGAAACCCAAAAATCTCTCCCACACGTATGAGTCACACACATGACTAGCCTTGATCTATATTAGGATCCACTTCCGCTCCCCCCGAGTTAACCAGGGTTCTGATACCACTGTTGGGACATCAAATTTGAAAAGTCAACATGATGAAGCATTTTATTGAGATCTTTCTTTATGAGCAACACACCTTGTGAGAGACACGCCACATACTCATCTAAAATCTTAAGGTAAAAGTGTAGACACCAAATATTGAACCATTCACCTTTGAGTTAAAAACAAAATACTTTACCATTATACTAACTAACTTACATAATGTTGAATAATTAATATTTCTATATTTATTTCAAATTTATAGTAATTTATATAAAAAAAATTGAAGTCCTTATTTTTTAGAGGTCCAAGACCGTGGACTTGATTGTCCGAGCTCAAGGACGACCTTATATTTATGTGTTATGCTATCTTTATTTATAAAAATATTTTTTGTTGGAAATAATTTATATTTTAGGAATATCTTTTTATATCTTTATTAGAGGGTATTTTAGTATTTTATTATACCCTAATTTTATGTATAAATAGCCTAGTAGTAGGTAGGTCAATGCAATTAATTATTCCTTATTTTGTAGCTGTCATTAAACATATTCCTTTTGTATTCATATCTATTTTGTGCATCAACAATTGGTATCAGAGCTCCGGTTCGAAATCCACAGGGAAACACAGGAAATATGAGTGAATAATGAGGTATTGTTGAGAATCATTTTTCTGATTCTGTGGGATTTGGGAAACACTTTTAGTGAATTTTGAGTGAATTGCACAAGGTTTAAGATGAATGGAAACGATGATATAAATTCCAAGCTTCCAGCATTTAATGGCAAAAACTGGAATCGTTGGAAGATCTAGATGCATGTGCTGTTTGGTTCTCAAGATGTGTTAGATCTTGTCACTGATGACTATGCTTCATTAGCAGCAGACGCAACAGAGACACAGAAGATAATGCAGAAGGCGCTAAGGAATAAAGACCAGAAGGCGTTGTTCTACATCCATCAATGTGTGGATGCGAACATGTTTGAGAAGATTGTTGACTCTGAAACAACAAAGGATGCGTGGGACACACTGGTCAGATGTTACGATGG